AGGAGGAGGAGGAGGAGGAGAGGGGTCCAGACTCGAGACCTCTGGGGGTCCACGTTGTGAGACAATGACAACTTCGGAGGGCCTCGGACAGGCCAGCAGCGCCGAGGGCACACACACAAAGGGGGCGGCGCGGACGGGGCGGCCTTCAAGGCGGGGGGCTGGCACAGCATGGTCAGTACCCTCAGTACCCTCCTCATACTCCTCCTCCTCCTCCTCCTCCTCCTCCTCCTCGTCCTCCTCCTCCTAATCCTCCTAATCCTCCTCCTCATCCTCCTCCTCCTCCTCCTGATCCTCCAGTCGGCCTTCTTGGAAGGGGCCAGGGGCCCTCCAGAAGGCTTCTTGGGTGTCGCCGAAGGTGAGCAGGGGCAAGACCATGGTGGGGAACGTTGCGGTGGCGAAGGGGGGAAAAGAAAGCCGTAGGCAGGTCTGCAGAAATAACCCTAGACATGATCGCGTCGTAAAACGAAAAATCAGAACGGCAAGTTTTTCGTTATTTCCCCGGGACCGTCAAAAAACAACTCAGGATGAAAAACCGGCCTTGGGACGCCGTACTGAACAAAATTCAAGACGTCGCATGTCTGGGGCAACACCGCTGCCAAGTAGAACAGTCAGGGGTTGGAGCGATGACAGGGGTTTGCCAGGCGACCTAGCAATAGGGATCACGGTCGGTCGCGGTGGACTGCCACGAAGTGCTGTTATCTACCAAAGACAAGATCACGGCACGGCTAGGCACTGGGAGTCCCCAGGACAAGATCAGGCACCGGCGCCAGGTGTTAGGAGCGAGGATCAGGGAGGAATGAAATTAGAGTCGTGGGCGGAGGAGGGACGGACCCCGTGGCCCGAAAATCTACAGGAAGCCAGAGGGCATTCCCTGGGATCCGACGTTGTGAGAGCGTTACAGAATCGTGACAAACCACGACCGGAGTTCTAGACCCCATCTCTCTGCGACATGCTTCGAGCCAGGCCGATCTGTGATGGTCCTGGGGCCGAGAAATGGCAGGAACGTCATGCGTGGACAACTTGCAGCGCCTCGTCTCACGACTTCTGGTGGCACTGCGCATGGCTCACTTGCTTGGGTCAGGGGCGCTCGCCCGCAGGCCTGTGAGTTTTTTTAAACATCCCCTGGTGCCAGTGGACTGAACGCGCGCACGGATGGTGGTGCCAGCTCCCTTGGGAGCCAGCGCTCTCCGAGTGACGTTGCATCCAAAACAAATTATCCCAGTGCGACCCTACCTAGGAGTTGGAACCCCTAGGAAAGCAGCATTGGTAGTAACAGTAACGCTAAGTTAAAGCTAAGCTAAAGCTAAGCTAAAGCTAAGCGCTCTCCGAGTGACGTTGATATCTGGCGATGGCGAGCTTCGCGTGCATCCCCAAACAAAATGAAGAAGAAGCCTGGGCCATCTCTCTGCGACACGCTTCGCTCCAAGCCGGGCCGATCTATGATGGCCCTGGGGCCCGAGAAATGGCAGGAACGCCAGGCGCGGACAGCCTGCAGCGCCTGCATGCCGAAACGTCGGGGCTCGAAGCCCTTCGAAACGTCAGGGTTCGAAGACCTTCGAAACGTCAGGGGCCCGACAGCTTGCCGACACGTCAGGGTTCGCAGGCCTTCGACGCGGCGTCGGCCGGCCCGAGAGACCGCCGAGAGGGCCGGAGAGCACCCCGCGGCCCCCGAGCAGCCGAGCAGCCGCGCCCATGGCGCGGTGGCCCGCCCGCTGCGCCGCGGCCCTGGTGCTGCGCGCCGCGCCGCTGGCACGGGGGCAGGCGCGGGATCTCTGCTGGCCGGGGCGAGGAAGGGGGAGGGATAGCGGATCTGCACGAACGGCATGGGTACGGAAAGAAAGGGTACAATGCCCAACAGCAGTTCTTGTTCATGTTGAACAGGACTCGCTGTCCGCGCCGCCGCGGCCTGAAGGCCGCTTGCCCAACAGCGGCCGCCGTTGGTTTGGGACAACATTTGTTCTTGGGCATTGTACCCATTCTTAAGACTAGACGTAAGAGTGACCTTTCGCCAGAGTGACCTTTGGTGCGGGCCCAATGGGTTCCCCGGGTCGCCAAACGCGATGCGGTAGTAGCGTCTTGCGCGCTTGTGTGTTTGGTCCCCCCCCTGCGGTCCCCAAAAAGCCGCGCACCAAAGGTCACTCTTACCCAGGGGGGAGGCTGAACATTTTTTGGAGTGGAGGGCAAAGGGTGAAGTCTGAAGGGCCGTGTCGATTGGTTTTCGAGGCCAGAATCCCCCAAAGGTGAATCACAAGACGGATTGGTTTTCGAGGTGCAAAAGCCCATATGGATTTCTCCTTGAGCAGGGGCGAGGAAGGGGAAGGGATGTCAGAGGAGGAAGGCTTAGACATTCGGGTTGACCCAAAAGGGGTCCAGCGACAAGGGGGTGGTGCAGTAGGTTTGGTGTCATCAATTTGTGGGGTTGCAATACACTTGGGGCGTGCAATATACATTTCGGGGCGCAAATGTATTGCTGTTGTTAGTGTGCAACACATTCCTTGCAATACCAAGCAATACAAATCTCCGGCGCAATACATTTGCAATACGTTGCCCCCAAATTGATTGCACCACCCCCTTTCAGCTGGACCCCCTTTTGGGCCACCCAAGCCCAAGGACATCCTCGTGTCTTGCACAAATCACGACTGGCGGTCTCTGGCAGTTCTCGCCAGGCCCCGGGATTGTACGAGAACGGCTCGGGATCAAAACTGGCCCTGAGGAAAGGACCGGGGCTCCCGAGAACACCGTGTTTGAAAAGCGAAGACATCGCATGACATGGTGCCACTACCCATTCCTCTTTTGGCCTTTGTGGGGCTCTGGGAAGCCCCTCGTCGCCACGGCTGGATTTGCCTCGTGGAGTTCTGGTCAGACAGTACCACGGGGGAGGTCCAGGGAGCAGCGGTATCGGTGCTGCAGGGTTTCCCCCGGAGAACGGGGGAGGAGGCCACCTCCTGTTCTCCCAGGGACAACGGCAGGGGGCGACATGGCTTACTGTTAAGTGGGGCCTGTCCCTCTACAGGGGGAATATCCCAAAATAGTCAACAAATAGTCGGGGGACTATTTTTGAGCTTTCTTTTTTTTGTTGTCATTTTGGAATATTTTGTTGAGCATGTTTTGTTATTCGTCGAAGATCCTCCTGTAGGGGGACACGCCGGGCTTAAGCGTAGGGGGCAAGGCATCGGCCCCCAATCTCCCACCGAGCGTCGACAGGGGCGCGATCGCCCAACCGCCTAGGAAAGCGGGGTGCTGCCATCGGGCCCCCTATCCGGCGATGGATCGCCGATTCCAGCCCGACGTTTCTCCAGCTTCCCCCCTACGGTCGGACCCAGGCATAAGATCGAGGTCGGCTCGGGGAGGATGCCCTACAGTGTTCTTCGTGCTCTCCGCTGCTGCATCCCTGCTGCACATCGCTGGGCACTCCTGCGGCACACCGCCGATTGGCAGACAGCCGCGTGAGCGTTGCAAGGAGAGCCCTTGGCCCGCGGCCCCGGGTGGTGGGAGGAGCGCGCTCGCTGGCAGAGCGAGGCCGCTCTTCTTAAGTCGGGCCTGTCCCCCTACAGGGCGATGTTCGACGAGAAATAAAACATACCCCCAACATTGTCAAAAAATAGTCCCAACACCGTCTGGGGGCTGTTTTGGGGGTATGTGTTTGCCTTTTTGGGCAATTTTTGGGGTATTTTTTATTTTTCGTCGAGAATCCCCCTGTAGGGGGACAGGCCCGACTTAACGCTCTTCTCATCGCGCCAGACTGCGCCTCTCGCCTCAGGGCCGCACGCCTCCGTTCTTCAAGACTGCAGCACAGCTTGAGCGGTAGAGGTCGGCAGGTCTGTTGTAGGTGAAAAGTATGCGGTGCTCGCTTCAGGGCTCCCAACCTCGAGGAATCCGAACATCTCATGTTCGCCAGAGGTGCACGAATGGATGGTGGCTTCTTTTCAAGAATGAACTCTCGCTCAAGACTTGCGCAAACTACATGACTCACACTTTTAAAACTCTGCAACGCTTACATGGGCGAAAGGCTGATCCTTTTCAAAAGGCGGCTACAGCTTGGCAGTCTTTGAATGTTGCCATCCTACCTTTTAAATGCGGCGCTTTCAACTAATCTGATGAAGGGTGAATCCTTTACAGATCACGGTCTCGCCTGAGTGGCAAGCCCACCGGGCGCTCGTCACTCAGAGTTGGCGCCCCCCGCAGTGGAAAGTTAAGGAATATCTGCAGTGGCTTATGAGGAGGGAGCTTGGGACGGGAGGTTGTATGGCTGCATAGTGTTGATGCATCTTGGATTCATTCACTCTGGACCTCCCCCTCCTCCGCACCCTCCCTTTCCTCCCTGCTGCTCCTCCTCCTTCTCCCTGCTCCTGCTCCGAGTGAGCAGGGAGGAGGATGAGGGAGGACTGAGGATGACGAAGATGGGTTCGAGGAGAAGAACAAGGAGGAGAAGGAGGAGGAGGAGGAGGAGGAGGAGGGGGTGGGCAAGAGGGAGCATAAGGACAGTGGAATTGGGGTAGAGGAGGAAACGGAGGAGGGAGGACGAGGAGAGCGAGTACGGATGAGCGTGGCAGATCGAGAAGCGAGAAGCGAGGCGGGAGGATGCCAGTGTGTGAGGAAGGGGGAGAGGGCGGGGAGGGGGGGGGGGCGGCGGGGGGAGGAGGGGAGAGGGGGAACGAGCCGGAGGGAGGAGGCAGGGCCGGGAGCAGGGAGAGGGGGAGGGCGTGGAGACCACGGCGACCGCCGGGGCGGCGGGGCCTCTCCTCCTCACTCCTTTTTTTTTCCTCCTCCTCCTCGTCTCCTCATCCTCCTCATCCTCCTCCTCCTCCACTTTCTCCTCCTCCTCCTCCTCCTCCTCCTCCTCCTCCTCCTCCTCAGGGAGAGAAGGGGGGGGGCCGGGCGGCCAGGTGCTGGACCTCCAGGTCGGGGCCGACGGCAGCTACCGCGTCGCACACAATGGCGACCTCTGGCTGCAGGGCGGCGAGACCAGGCCTCGGGGAGGTGGGCGCCCAGCCACAGAGCTGGTCCTTCTCCTCCTCCTCCTCCTCCTCCTACTCCTCCTCCTCCTCCTCCTCCTCCTCCGCATCCCTCCTCCTCCTCTCCTTCCTCCTCCTCCTCCCCTCCTCCTCATCCTCCTCCTCCTCCTCCTCCTCCTCCTCCTTCCTCCTCCTCTACTCCTCCCTCCTCTCCTCCTCATCCTCTCCCTCCTCCTCCTCCTCCTACTCCTCCTCCTCCCTCCTCCTCCCTCCTCCTCCTCCTTCCTCTTTCTCCACCTCCACAGTTACACAATATGAGCAGTGCCCTCCTCTCTCCCCTTGCGTGGCGGCCGGGAACTATTCGGCCCCCTCCGCGTAGTATTTTTTAAAACAGGACTCCCGGGAGTTGGGTTCTCGCTTGTTTTTTTCAAAATGCTGCTCTCGCTGAAGCGCTGGCGTCACTTTCGGGCTACCGCTTCCGCTCGTTCCGAATCGTGCTCCCGCTGAAGCGTTGGCGTCATCATTTCCAGCGCCATGCCACGGCATGGTGCTCATGGTGCTCGGTCCTTCCAAATAGGCTCCCAAATCTAGAAAATGCCCCCCCCCCGAAAAAACAATCGGAAATGATTCCGCAATCAGTGCGGATTCGTTGATTTTTCGGGTCGCAGGAGCCCCCCCTCCACCACTTTGGGGCGCCGCCACGCCATGCGATATCAGGCTACGCGTCCTCCGAATCGTGTTCCCGCTGCAGCGCTTGCCTCATTTCCGCGCTTCTGCCCGTTCTGAATCGTGCTCCCGCTGCAGCGTTGGCGTCATTATGTCCAGCCATGCCGCGGCATGGTTTTCGGTCCTGCCCAGTAGGCCCCAAAATCTAGAAAATGGCCCCTCGAAACAAACATCGGAAGTGATTCCACATTCGGTGTCGATTCTTTATTTTCTGCGGCCGCAGAAGCCCCCCTCCACTTTAGGGCGTCGCCACGCCATGCTATGTCAGGCTACGCGTTGATCTTCAACACCATGCTATGCCATGTAATGCTATGCCCTGCTGCGACATTGTGCGAAGAGAGAGGAGATCTGGGTAGGACGGCAGATATGACGCGAGCGCACCTAGCTTGTCCTCCTCCTCCTCCTCCTCCTCCTCCTCCTCCTCCTCCTCCTCCTCCTCCTCCCCCTCCTCCTCCTCCTCCTCCTCCTCCTCCTCCTCCTCGCCTCTTCCCCTGCGTAGCCGCACCCTGGGGCTACCCGGTTCGGGTTTTCAGAATTTGCATTTGGCACGTCGTGCCCGCGGATTCCAAAACTAGCGAACTGCATAGAAACATTACGCGCGCGGAGGTTCGCACGTGGATTGCTTGGATTGGCGCTGGACCCCCCTGGCGGCGCGTCCGGCGCCGCCCCTGTCGCGCTCCGCGCGCTCGGGCAAAGGGTCCAGCGCCGATCCAAGAGATCCGCTCGAGCCTCCACACATTTTCACTCGACTTTAGTTTTTTCTTGTTCCATCGGATGCAGCAGATTCAAGACTGTGGCATCCAGAAAGGGTGGACGGGGGGGGTCACCAGGGCAGCACACTGAAAGGCTCCCTTAGCCAGCGCTCCCCGCGACACCCTTGGGATCTTCAGCGAAGAGAGGGCCCAGAGAGAGGGAGTTCGAAGACCTCGAGCGCAGTTCCCCCTCGTCGTCGTCCTCCTCCTCCTCCATCATCATCCTCCCCGTCCTCCTCGTCGTCGTCCTCCTCCTCCTCCTCCATCCTCCTCCTGTGTTGATTCGTCCCGTCTCACGCTTCCTCGGCGGGGCGCATCGCGAGGCAACCACAGGGGCACCAGGCTGGCTTGCGCTGTCGGGAGCGGAGGACAAAAGCAGCAACGATAAGAGTCAGTCGAACATGGATCGCTCTCATATGCTCGCATGTCATTCAACATGTCTCTCTCAATTCCTCGGTTCCCGCCCGCTTCGTCTTTGATCGTGCTCCCTTTGGGATGTATACCTCTCTATTATGCCACGTGTAGTTGACGCAGCCCTTCAAGCATGAAGGGCCGAAATGAAAGGAAAGGGCAAGAGGAAGGGGGGAAGACGATGGAGGACGCGAGTGATTAGCAAGAGACTAGCAAGAGGGGACAGCATGGAAGTCTCAGGCGAGAGCGCGGTTCCTGAGTAATGTATGAGAGAGTTCAAAGCGAAAGCACGATTACAGAGCGCCGAGAGAGCGATTCGTGAATTCGAGAGCGGGCGTCCTGTTTTTATTGCAAGGAAGTCCCTAGCGAAAGCCAGGTTCCTCAATCAACTGTGGGGAAGCATGCGGCGGGATCCGCTGTCGTGCAATTCGGGGGTCCACAACACAGGCTGGGGCCCAAGCAAGCCTTTCTCCCTTGCAGCACCTAGGTGGCCAGCCTGAGCGGGGCACCGCAGTTGCGAAGCCCACTCCCCTCCCTCTTTCCTCCTGCTCCCTCTGGAGGCGGCTTCCGGCAGCGCTGGCCTCTCTTAGTTGGGCCTGTCCCTCTACAGGAGGAATATTCAGAAATAGTAAAACAATAGTATGGGAACGATTTTTCTTGTTATTTTTCCCGTTTGGGGGGTATTGTTGGAGTCTCTTTTATTTTTCGCCCATTCGCCCAAAGTCCCCCTGTAGGAGGACAGGCCCGACTTCAAGTCAGTACCCTAGGCGAGCCCTGCCGTCGCCGCCCCCCGGGGGGCCCCTCGGCCCCCCGCCCCCCGCCTCCCCAGAGGGCCCCGCCCCCCTCGCGCCGCCCCCCTGCGCGCACGCGGCCAAAACGGGGGGGGGGGGGCCAGGGCTCGTCTCGATTCCTCCGATTCGATTCGGCTCGGCTCCGATGGCTTCCGATTCCGATTCGATTCGGCTTGGGACTCCGATGTTGGGCTCCGATCTCTCACTGGAGGCCTACTATAGCCTGCCGATCTCCGCCGATCCTACTTCTCTCCCGACTCGGCTGCCGACCTCCGCCTATCCGATTCCTTTCGGTCGCGGATCCGATTCATCGGTTCGGTTCTAGGCTCTCCTGCGGGCGGGGCATCAGAGGCGTATGTTTCCCATTCTACTTTAAAATTGTGGGTGGAAAACTATGTCCTCCTGGGCCCCCGTCGGAGGAGCGGAAATGCGAGCGCAATGTCGCGCGCGACCCACCGCTGGTAATAACGTGAATGCGCGGGCGTCGTGGCGAAGACGACGGCGACGGCGATGACGACGGCAGCGTTGGCGGCGACGGCGACGACGACGACGAATTTTCCGCTTCCAAGAGCACGCGGGTGCTCGCGCGCAGGCTGCCCGCGCAGGGCCGCCTGCGCGCGCCCCCCTTTGCCGCGAGAGACCCCTGCCGCGCGGTCGCTGCCCTTGCAGGCCAGTCGCGAGTGAGGTCGCCGTGGCACGTCTTGATGCCCTCTGCTGCGCCGCCCTCGCGAGTCCGGCCGCGCGCGCCCAGCTTCCGTCCAGCCCGCCTTGCCCGCAGGCCCGCATCGGCTCGACAGAGAGAGGGGCGCCCTGGCTCGCCCTTGCCTCCGAACGCCCCCCCTTGCCCCTCGTTGGCGGCTAGGCGTCGGCGCCAATCACCGGCGCCGCCCCGCTGATTTTCAATCTGGCGGGCGCCACCCCGCGATTCGCCCGAGCAGGGGGATTATTTGTTCAAACACGCGCCCCCCACGGATTTGTTAATCACGAGCTGACAACACTGGGCCCCCAGCAGTTCAGGGGAGGGCGAGCTGAGACGCAGCGGCGGTTGGCCTTCGGGGGGCCCACGTCGCCACCGAGGCTGGAAGGGGAGCTCTCGGAGAGTTGTTGGGTGTTTTGGGCCCCGGGAGTGGTCCGAGAAACGATCCGTTCGGCTTCGATGGCTTCCGATTCCGATTCGATTGGGCTTCCGATTCGGGCTCCGATCTCTCACTGGAGGCCTATTATAGCTTGCCGATCTCCGCCGATTCGACTTCTCCCGACTCGGCTGCCGACCTCCGCCGACCGAGGCCGAAGGGGAGCTGGAAGGACTGGTGGGCTTGGGACCCCGGGAGTGGTCCTGGAAACGAGCTGGAGCTGACGTTGTCTCAGCTCGCCCTGCCCCGAGGAGCCCCGCCCTTCCCCAGGGCCTGGCGGGCGGCTGCCAGTTGTGGGCGGTGCTGGGGCCCCGCGAGGGCCCCCAGAGGTCCAAAAACGGCGGAGGCCTCATTCAGGAGAGAAAGAAACACACAGGCACAATCAATCGTCGACTCCCAGGAAAATATGGGAAAATACTGGAAGTGGGTGGGAAGACAAAAATATGGGAAAATATGGGGGATTACGTTATTTGTGTGTATTTATTTGTGTGTCCCAGGGCCCCTTCACTCAATCCCGACCTCTTTGCCGTGGCGTCGGAGGCCCGCGCAGGGGCCTGGCCAAAGCTCGGCGGGTGAGGGCCTGGGCCCGCGCAGGGTCGGCGAGCACTCCTCCGCCTCGGGGGACCTCGTGGTGCTGGAGACGTTCACCTACGAGGGCTCCGACGCGCTCGGGGGCTTCGTGGCGCAGACCCTGCGCTGGGCCCGGAGCCCCAACGCCAGCGCGGGCGCGGTCCTGCTGGAGACGACCTTCCGAACGCGCCCCGCCGCCAAGGGAGGGGGGGAGGCCCAGGCCTCCCCACCTGGGGCAGAGCAGATGGGGTCGGAGGATCGCGCCGCATCGCCGGTGCATCGGCGATGCGGCACGATCTTCCGACCCCATCTGTTCTGGCCCCGTTGGGAGGTCTGCAGAGGAGGAGGAGGACGAGGAGGAGGAGGGGATGATCATGATCGGGTCGGTCGAAAAAGCGAGGGAATTAGAAAGGGGGTTGCGAAAATGCTGCGTGTAGCTGTTTTTGTTGCCCCGCCACCAGCGTTTTCTTCGATCGCCCCCGGCGCCAGAAGTTTGCCGAGGACGGTAGTTACACGAGCTGATTCCGACGTCGCGAAAAAATGCAAAACGTGAAACATCACGACCAGAGCCTTAGGTCTGCTGCATTTCTAAGACGGATCGATCCGTGAGGGTCCCGGGGCCCGAAACCGGGCGAAATCGCCCAGTGTGAATCAAATACGCATGCCCGCCCCCTTTCTATCTTCCCTTGTCCTGCGACCCGCGAGGCAGGAGACGATGGTGGAGGAGGAGGAGGACTACAGGTATCCTGCAGACAAGGGTGTCCTCCTGTTTGAGCAATACTTCCCGTCGGCCATCAGCATCACTGCGCCGGACAACGGCCTGCTGGCCAGCACGCTCTTCCCCGCCTTCAGCCGGAAGCCAGGCCCAGCGGACAGCCTGGATTGCTTCTCGTACCATGGTATCTTCCCACGCATGAAGGGCTGCAAGGTGGAAACGTATGCGGAGTCGCACCTGGCGGGGCCTATTTCTATCCGATCGATCAGATTCGATATCCATGCTGGCCGACCCGATCCAATTCGCCTCCGACTTGCATACGATCCCATGCGGCCCGATGCTCGCGCGTCGCTGTTAAGCATTTGGCGCGGCCGATTCGATCCAGTCTCGACTCCGTGCCGATGCGGCCCGATCCGACGCATGTGCAGATCCGATCCGATTTCCGATTCGATGCTGACTGATCCTCTTGCTCCTCTGCCTCCCTCTTTTCCTCCTGCCTGGCTCTCCCACTGCGGATGGCTCCTGCGTCCCCCACAGGTTTTGACCCCTTCCCAGGGGCCCGCTTTTCCTTGCGAGCCGTTTTTATGACTGTTCCGGAGCCTGAACACGGCTCCCAGAGGCAGAAACTAGCCCGAAGTAGCCCGAAGACCTGTTGTTTCTCCTACCGATCCGATCAGATTTTTTGGACGCAGTTCTTGGGAGTTTTGAATTCATAATACGCGCTGGTATATCCGTGGTCGAAAACCAGCCTAATCCGGCACATTCCCATCTCATGCCGCCCGCTTCATATGGCTTAATCCGGCTCAATCTTGGGCCAAATCTGGGCCAATATGCTTCAATGGCTCCTTGATCTGCCTCAGTGGCCGTTACACGTTCCTACGACGGCTCTCCTCAGGAAACCTTTTGCTGTGATGTTTTAGTACACGATGGTGTCGACCAAAATCCGTTCAAAATCGATCCTGGAATCGCTCCTGGGGTCCATACTGACCAGTCCCCCGAGCTGCGCCCGGCCGCGACGGGGAGAGCCTGGAGCCTCCAGGAACGTCCAGCAAGCCTCGATCCCTTGATCCACGATCCCGCGATCCCGGAGGCCGGAGGCCGACCCCCTTTCCCGCCGGCCCTGCCGAGGGGGGCACCCCCCTGGTCATCTACAACTCCACGAGGGCGGACCTGCCGGTGGTCGTGCTGGCGCCGCTGACCGCCCCGAAGGCGCAGCACATGGCCTCCACGGAGGGCATGTTCGGCGTGGGCGTGAAGGCGACGGTCGGGCTGATCTCGAGAGGCCCACGCCACTCCCCGTCGACCCCCAGGCCCCCGAAACAGGAAGATCGCCGAGGGGCAAACGGGTCCTGAGGGAGTCGGGCCCCGGGGAATTTCAGCGCCTGTCGGGCTCATGGGACCTGCAGGGGCCTGGGTCCCTGTCCAAACCAAACGGCTGGTAATGAGGAGCTGGTCGTCTGGGGGAAGGAGCCATGGGAGCCAGGACCCGCGTCCCTCCGGACACGGCTTCTCACCTGCCAGAGACCGGGCGATGTGCGGCTTCCGATGTCGTGCCTGCTGTTTGCCGCTCCACGTCGTGCTGCCTGCATGCAGCTGCTGCTGACTCGCTCGCCTCTTCCTCCGCGTCTGCTGCGGGCCTTCTTGATCCCCAGTTGGCGGGGGTCGGCGGATCCCTGCTGGCTGGAAGCAGTCGGTCATGCTGTCCGCCGGAGCAGCGAGAAGACCAAATGCACAAGCAGAGACTGTCGGAGGTCCGCGCGGATTTCTTGGATCGGGTCCCCACCCTGGCGCTCGGAGCGCGCCAGGGAGGAGTGCCCAGCGCCGATCCAAGAAATCCACGCGGGGCTCCGAAATGTGTATGCCAATGTCTTTTTCTTCTTCTAGGAGCAGGGGTCCACGACGGGATGATGGCGTGGGGTGACCGTGCTCTCAAGTATCTCGCGAAGCCCAGAGCCGACATGTACGCGGGCAACATAGTAGGCTCAATCGGCTTCTGGACCGACAACGGCGGCTACTACCACTATGCCACTGGCTCGAACGAAACGTACGAGGAGGTATTGCCACAGGTGAAGGCATATCACGACTCCATCGGAGTTCCCTTCAAGCATTGGCAGTTCGACTCTTGGTTTTACCCCAAGGACGGCGCAGTTGATCCCGGCGGCGGCGGCGGCGGCGTCACGAATTGGACAGCGATCCCAGATGTTTTCCCAGGCGGGATGGCCCACATTCAGTCGTTGTTGAAGATGCCCATGGCGATGCACAATCGCCAGTGGTCACCGCACTCTGACTACATCAACAATCTGAGCTTCGAGTGGTACACGTCTAACGGGGTAGCGATTCCGAAGGACCCCTTTGCCTTCTTCAAGTGGTTCTTCGCGCAGCAGGAGGGCTGGGGCCTCGAGATGTACGAGCAGGACTGGATGAGCACGCAGAACGACAAGACCGACGCGCTCCAGACCAACATTACCATGGGCGACCTTTGGCTCGCAGGCATGGCCGCGGGCGCGGCTGGCAGCAACCGCACCGTGCAGTACTGCATGCCGTACCCCAGCGATGTGCTGTCTGGCGCCGCCCACCCTGCCGTCACGAACGCGCGCGCCACGGGCGACTACTTCCACAGCGACAACCAGTGGGCGGTGGGCAGCACGGCCCTCTTCTACTGGGCCCTTGGGATACTGCCCTTCAAGGACGGTTTCTACTCTAGCACGCACCTCCAGAAGGGGGGCCAAACCAAGGGTCCCGAGATGCACCCCGACCGGGAGGCCATAATGGCGACGCTGTCTTGTGCAATGGTGGGCCCCATGGACGGCATCAACCTCTTGAACGCTACCCGTGTCATGTCCACTTGCCGCAATGACGGCATTTTGCTCAAGCCAGACGAGCCAGTGGTCACTTCCGAGGAATGTTTCAGGAGGCCAGGTGATCCTGGTGAGTGCTGGTTGTTCCATGCGTACTCGAGCGTGCCTACTCGATCCTGGCAAGAGCTGCATGTTCACTACCTCTTCAGTGATAACGGCACGGAGCCCATCACCCCAGGGATGGTGAATCTCAGGGATCACAGCGGCCACGTAGTATACAATTGGTACACCGGGGAGCTGTCTCCGCTCGCCGAGACCAACCTCCTCCGCCCTGGCTACGAGGGGCACGTCTATGCTGTCGTGACCGTGGCGTTCGATGGGTGGATCTTCCTCGGAGAGGTGGACAAGTACGTGACCGCGGCCAGGATCAGATTCCAACACGTGGCCGTACGGGAATCGGACCCCTCCGTCCTCGATGTGACCGTCGCTGGCAGCGGCGCTGGAAGCGAGGATGTGCAGGTTTGCGCAGCTCAGGTGTCCATCCTCCGCGTCGTGTGCAAGATTGCGCACTTCGGGGCAGCAGGCGGTGTACAGACGCTGAGTTTTGAGCCCGAGGGGCAGCGGCTCCTCGACTCCCAGCTCGGCCACGCCGACCTGGTCGTCTGAGCTCTGGTCCCTCGCGGCTCGCAATCAAGCGCCAAGCGCGGCGGATGTGCTGCCCTAAGTGCCCATGAGCCACGCTCCCTGCAACACTCGCACGCACACAAACACACACACACACACGCAGATTTGTGTTCCCTACCTAGGCTCTGCCCAGAAGGGTTCTTACCGTGTTCTCTCAAAGGGCCGGGCAGTGTAAAGCGCCCCGGGCGGTTCCCCCAGGATCCGCCCCGCGGTTCCCCCAGTTGCGCCCCCTTAGCTTAGCGTTGCTTATCTCATCTTAGCTCAGCCTAGCTTAACTTAGCTTACCTTAGCTTAGACGAGCCTAGCTTAGCTTAGCTTAGCCTGGCCTAGCTTAACTTAGCTCAGCTCAGCTTAGCTTAGCGCAGCGCAGCATTAGCATAACATATCATAACATAGCATAGCGTATCATAATATAGCATAGCGCAGCATAGCACAGCGCAACATAGCATAGCATATCATATCATAGCATAGCATATCGCAGCATAGCATAGCATAGCATATCATAGCATATCATATCATAGCTTAGCTTAGCATAGCTCAGCGCAGCATAGCATAGTGTTTCATAGCATAGCCTAGCATATCATAGCATAGCGCAGCATAGCATAGCATATCATATCATAGCATAGCGCAGTATAGCATAGCATGGCATAGCGCAGCATAACATAGCATATGATAGCATAGCGCAGCATAGCATATCACATCATAGCCTAGCATAGCATAGCATAGCGCAGCACAGCATAGCATAGCATTGCATATCATAGCGCATCATCTCATATCATAGCATAGCATAGCGCAGCATACTATAGCATAGCATAGCATAGCATAGCATAGCATAGCATAGCGCATCATAGCATAGCATAGCATATCCGCGGTGCTGCACAGCTGTCGGTGTAGATGTAGATGTTGCTTTCCTAGATGCTCCAACTCCTAGGTAGGGTCGCACTGGGATAATTTATTTCTCTCTCTCTCTCTCATTTCTTTTTCCAAACAATCCTGTAGTTGTGGGTAATCGTTTTGAAACAGCGCCCCGCGTTCCTCCTCCTCTTCTTTTCCTCCCCCTCCTCCCTCCTCCCCATCCTCCTATGTCTGCGGCAGCGGCGATCTGTGACTGAGTGAGAGTGATGGGGGCTCTGAAGCAGAATCGAGCATAATCCCCCCATCCCTGCCTCTGCCCTCCGCGTGTCCGGAAACAGCGCGCACAGTACAGCGTTTCGTGGCCCTATAGGGAGCTCCACCGATGGCCCCAGTGGCTGTGTTCGCATGCGTCTCACCACGAAGTACTGTACAGCGCTTCGTGGTCCCATAAGGATCTCCGCCGAAGGCCGCAGTGACGGTGTTCGCATGCGCCCCCCCGCCCAGTACAGCGTTTCGTGCCCCCATACAGGGCTCCACCGAAGGCCCCAGTGGGGGTGTTCGTATGCGTTACCCTCACCCAGTACAGCGTTCCGTGGCCCCATGGGGAGCTCCACCGAAGGCCCCAGTGGCGGTGTTCGCATGCGTCTCCCCACGAAGTTTTGTACAGCGATTCGTGGTCCCATAGGGATCTCCGCCGAAGGCCACAATGACGGTGTTCGCATGCGCCCCCCCCGCCCAGTACAGCGGTTCGTGCCCTTATACAGAGTTCCACCGGAGGTCCCAGTGGCGGTGTTGCCATGCGTCTCCCCCCCATTACAGAGTTTCGTGGCCCAATGGGGAGCTCCACCGAAGGCCCCACTGGCTGTGTTCGCATGCGTCTCCCCCACCCAGTACAGCGCTTCGTGGCCCCATAGAGAGGTCCACCGATGGCCCCAGTGGCGGTGTTCGCGTGAGTTTCCCCCACTCAGTGCAGCGCTTCGTTACCCCATAGGAAGCTCCACCGAAGGTTCTACTGGCGGAATTCGCATGCGTGTCCCCCACCCAGTCTAGTTTTTTTTGTGGCCCCATGGAAAGCTCCACCGAAGGCCCCAGTGGCGGTGGGCGACAATGAAAAGGAGGAGGGAGGACGGACGAGGAAGGAGGACGAAGGAGGAGGGAGAGGGGCTGAAGGCGGCGGGCGGAAGAGAAGGGGGGGGCTACGACGAGGAGGCAGAGGAAGGATGGGGGAGTGGACTTGCTCACCGCTTGTCTGTCTGTCAATCGTCGTCGTCGTCCCTCTTCGTGGCTGCCGCCGTGGTCGTCGTCGTTGTCGTCGTCATCGTCGTCGTCGTCGTCGTCGTAGCCGTTGTCCACTCGGACCCACCCACGCTCACAGCGGCAAGTGCCAGGGAACGCGATGCACACATGGGGATTTTCTGCGTCGACTACTCTCGGGTTCTTATTCCTCGTGTTCGTATGCTTGTCAGTGTCGTTCTTCTTCTTGTTTTTTTTTGTTCTTGGCATTCATATATTTTCAACATTCTTCTTGATCTTGTTCGTCCTGGCTGGCGGTTCCGGGCTTCCGCCCACAGGGCGCCCGTGGATGCCTCGTGGACGCCTCGCGCGCTCGCCTGCAGCCCTCGGCGTTCGCCCAGTGGCCGCCCGCTGTGTGCCTCGGCGCACCGCCCGGGGGCGCGCCGTGCGCCGGCCAGCGACTGCCGAGGGCAGAGGGCGCCTCCGCGTGGGAGCCCCGCGCGCTGGCTGGCATCCGTGTCGCAGCCTCGAACGTATCCCTATCTCTAAGATTGACACGCCAAAAGGCGACGACAATCTCAGGGATTCGCCCTCAAGAAATAAGGGAATCCCCAAGAGTGGCATCGTGAGGAGGAGGTGCCCAGCATAGGGATAAGGATATGTTCCAGGCTGGTCAATCCGTGTCGCAGGCTGGCCTGCGCTTCCAGGTCGTCGCCCCGTGGGCGCCGCGCGGGCGCCCACGGGGCGTGGGCTGGCCTTTCGCCGGAGCGCCGCCTCGTGGGCGCCCCGTGCGCTGGTTTGCATGCTCCCAGCTTCCCCCCCCCCCCCCGCGCGGACCCGTCTGGGGCCTCACAGGCGACGGGCGCGCTGGCTGGAGTCTCGGGATGTTCGCTCACGGGCGGCTAGCAGGCGCCTTTGGAGCGGCTGGCCTGGCCCCGGAGGTACGCGAATTCCCGTTCCGAAAGAAGTCATTCGGTAGCAAATCATGGGAGCCTGGTATACCCCCTTAATTCCGTTTCTAGCGTCGATAATCGTCGATTCGCGCCTGGGGGTCCATGGGATAGCGCCGATTTAGCGTCGGCCAGCGTCGATTTAGCGTCGACTAGCGTTGATTTAGCGTCGACTAGCGTTGATTCGCAAGAGCCGACAAGATGGTATGGGAGGCTCCCATGAGTTGCCACCGAAAAAATCACCCGTAGCCCCTTGCCGAGGCCCGAGTCATCGCCCCCTCCACGGATCGTTCTATTCTGCACGATTGCTCCCCCGATATACGCCAGTTAACCTCGGTATCGACATCTCTCCGTCCGTCTCAAACAATAGTATTCGGTGCACATGCGTTGATCTAAGAAGTATGGGCACGCGTGCGTCGCCGCGTGCGCATGCCAAAATAAGTCTGGAGCCACGTCTTTGACAAAGCTGCAAAGACAGATCTGTTCACAGATGATTGAACAAGAGTTCCTCGGGATGCCAGATTCCTACGCGCGCATTCGCATTTTAGTTTGTTGTGCCATTCTGTCAAACGAGATCATGCGGGCTACACGCGTGCGAATGTCGAAATATTCAGCCATCATCGCTCGCTTCATTCAGAAGCGAACGAAGGACGAACATGCACATGAATCCACATTGGTTCGAAAGTGCGCATTGCGCGAACGTTCGTATCACGCGGCCAGTCTCACGGATTGGGGGGCCGTGTTCATGTACGTGGTTGCGCGCGCACGTTTTTCGTGGGCTCCACATTTATTCAAGTGCTACAATACGGGCCACATGCGAGCGTCTCAGCGCGCGCACGTCGAAATCCGTCCAATAGCAAAGGTTTTGCCAGCATGTCAGGGCACACACACACACTATATATATATATATGTATACACATGAGAGAGCGTGATCCACCGCCGCTTTACTGTGGAAAATTGCCAACCTTTTCCTCCGGAACCCGGGGGTCGCCCCCCCCCCCCCCTCCGAAAATCCCCCCCCCCCTTGCTGGACCCCTCCCCCCCCCCCCCCCCCCCCCCTCTCCCCAGGCAAAACCCCCCCCTCCCCTAACCCCTCCCCCCCCCCCCCCCTCCCGCTCGAAGACCGGGGGGGGTCACTACCGGTTCGAACCCCTCCCCCCCCCCCCCCCACCCTTCGGATCCGGAAAAACCGGGGGGGGTCACTACACCGGTTCGAACCCCCCCCCCCCCCCCCCCCCCCCCCCCCCCTACCCCCCCCCTACTCACCGCCAGCAAACGACTCCCGGTCCCCACCACCGTCCGCATCACATCCCCCACTGGTGTTCCCAGCACCACTGTCCTCACCACCGCTGTCCCCACTGGTTCCACCACCGCCCCTACTGTCCCCACCAGTGGCCCCACCACTGTCGCACTGTCCCCGCTGTCCCCAGAACTGTTCCCACCACGGTTCCACTCTCCCCACTGTCTCCACGGCCCCAACCACTGCCCGACTATCCCCACTGTCCCCACTGTCCCACTGACTCCTCCGCTGTCCCACTGAGCTGTCCCACTGTTCCCACCACTGTCCCCACTGTCCCCACCACTGTCCCCACTGTACCTCTGTCCCATTGTCCCACCGCCGTCCTCGCCACCGCCTTCACCACTGTCCCCACCACCATTGTACCCTCCACTGTCCCACTGTTTCCACCTCATTCCCATTGTCCCCACACCACTGTCCCCACCACCACCGTCACCACCACTGTCCACTGTCCCCCCCTGTTCCCACCATTGTCCCCACCACTGTCCCCACCACTACCGTCCCCACCACTGTCCCACTGTCCCACTGTCCCCACCACTGTCCCGCTATCCCCTCACCACTGTCCCACCAACACCGTCCCCACCTCTGTCCGCACCCCCACTGGGTTTTCGAGAGGGGGGGGGGGAGGGGTTCGAACC